ATCCAAACCCATCATTCATCTCAGGAAGCCTAGAAACAGTGCTTCAATCTAACAAAGCTATATCTAATGTTCTTTTAGCACATCTAAGTAGTGTTGTTAGGAATGCATTAGTGTAGAAAAGGTAGTTTAGTAGGGTCTTAGCAAAAGTAAGCAACTTAGGTGTGTAAGCAACTTGCCTGTGAAGTACGTTAGCAGGAGTTTTATTAATAAATAAACTATTAATACATAAATAGTGCTTTATTTAGAATAATTATCTAGGATTATTAAATAATTCACACGTGAGACTAAGCTAGCTTAGAGATTCTACTAGTTACTATCTATAATTACTGTGTTAAAAATTTAAAAGACTATAGCAATACTAGTTTATAATATATACTATCCTCTTAATAATCTCTTTAATAAGTAATATTTATGTCTATAAAACTATTACTGTAACAGCATAAGCAAGAAAACAGGTCTGAATGCGGCGGGAATCTACTTAGAGGCATATAGAAGTGCGTGGGGATTTAGAAACCTAGGAATGCTATTAACACCTTAGGCCTTGTACAAAAAGATATTAGAAAACTACAAAGCTAACTAAGAGAGGAAGTGCAACTAAATACTTAGGGGAATAGAGGTACAACAAGGGGCAGGGCAGAGTCGGAGCCGATACAAGGAATCTTTAGATATAAGGTTCGCTAGGTAACTTTAAATAGAACAATTTAAGCATATTCTTACATATACTTACTATTACTAATAATAAAGTTAACTTTTTTAAGTATAATAAGTTCTAAGGGTTTCTAAGCTCCTTTTTATTACTTTTTAAAGTAATATAAGTAAGGATTAGGCATTATAAAAGGTAATTTAGTAGTTAGTAGAGGTTAATTAAAACTAATAGTTTTTAATATAGTTAGCTAATTAATTTATGCTTTTAATTAAGTAATTTAGTTTTTAACAGCTATTGTCTGTACACAGCAGCAGCGTTACAGTCTAGATACTAGTTATCGCGCACAAGAAGGATCACGTAACTATGTCACATGATGCTCGTGCGCGAACCTCTGTGCGCGAACATGTAGATAATCCTCTTTTACTCTGTACAGAAGAGAAGACAGAGCAATGACTAGAAACCTGTTGCCTACTCTACCTACTTTGTACACTGTGCACACTGTACACAACTCTTACTTTTGCTACTTAAGTGCTTATACTATAAGCAGCTAGCTAACAGAGCCTATTTAACACTAATTAGTGTAACAGCGCAAGCAAGACAATGGGTCTAAATGCGGTAGGAATCCACTTAGAGGCATATAGAAGTGCGTGGGGACTCAATAACCTAGGGATTCCATTGACGCCTATAGGCCTCGTACGAAAGGATATCAGAAAACTACCAAGCTAGCTACAAGGGAGGTACGACTGAATACTTAGGGGAATAGGGGTACAGTAGGGGGCAGGGCAGGGTCGGGGCCAGGTGGGGTCGAGGCCGATACAAGGACCTTCCGGATAGCTTCCGGGCCACCCGAGATAGAACAACTCCTAAGAATTGTTACAATTAGTAGTTAATTTAATTAACTATAAATTAGCAAGAGTAATAATAAAGTACCTACTTCTTATATAGTACTTTGTTTTATTACCTATTCTTAAAGATAGTAGATTAATTCTTTACATTATATAGTAAGCTTTGCTACTGTAAAATACTACAACAGTTTATAAATAATCTGTAAAAGCAAAGCTTGCTTAGAGTAATTGTTGCAACTGCTAATTAGAGAGTAATAAGAAGCAAGTCTATTAACTATAAGAGGCTTATAGAGAGCTTAGGCGCTAAGTGTCTTAGGCTGCTTGTCTAAAACACAGGTACGGCGGACTGTTTGCTAGTGAAGGGAAAAAACTAATTGCTAATTTAAAAATTCTTTACCCTACACATAATTATAGCCTTTAGCTACTTACAACTTTATAATTATTTTATACACATTTATACATGTTAATTTTATAATGCCTAGTAAGCGTCTTTTAAATAGTTACATTGTACAAGTGCTTACTAATATAGTAGCAACGTAGGAGGACGTCCTAAGATTAACCTTAAACTATACTAACTTTATCTACTTAGGCTTTTTTATAAAGGTGTTACATATGCGCAGATAGCTACTTACTTTTTTAAAGAGTTTTAAGTCTATGTTACTTCTTATATAATTAAGTAGTAGTTTTAAATATAAAATGTAAAGCAACACTTTTTACTAAAGTTAAAAATAAAGTTAAAAATTAAATCTAGGTGCTATTTTTTAAAGTTAAGCTTAAAAATTTAGATATGCTTTATATACTACATAATAAAAGCTTCTAAATTAGAAAATATATGCTTATATAACTTTAATTTAAGCTTAGATTACATAGAAAAGTGTAAAGTATTAAATAAAGCTAGTAAGTAAATAAGCTTATATAATAACTTATTAGTTAAAAGCTAGAGAAAGGTGTTATTAATAAGTATAAGTAAAGGTATCTTTATACACACTTTTATTAACATAGCTATATTATTACATAGAACTAGTTATTTTATATTTATTATATAATAAACTATAAAGCAGTAGAGCGCTGCAAGCGCAACCTGCAGTAACACTGTAGAAAGTATATTATTCCTAGCCTAAACTTTATTTAGTCTATTAATAGCTATAGTAAGCTAAAACTGTACAGCGTAAAGATCTATACATGTATTAACACATACTTACAATACATTATATAGATTTATGTTAGAATCTTTGCCTACACTACTGTTAACTACTTTTACTAGTTTCTTAAAACACTTAAAAAAATAAAGTAGTAACTACATTTTATATAATTTAATTAAGAGATAGAGATAGTTATGCTAGCAAATGCTTATTACTAGCTTTAAAGGTTTATAAAGCCTAAAGTTTTATTTAATTAGTGCTACTTTTATAGCATAAGTACATTAAATTAGTAAATTAAAGCTTAGTAGTAGTAACTTTTAAAAGGCTTTCTTTTTTATTAGTAAGTTAGTATTTTATATAATACCTATTACTTTATCTTATTTTAAGTAAAATTACTTTTACTACCTTTAAACTTAAGGCTTTTTTTAAAAGATAGCTTAGCTAATTAGCTTACTATTTATACTATATATATTTTTATACTTTATAAGAAACTATATAGCTTTATATAATTATAAAACACATATTTAATTTAAAGGCAAAAGAACTATTTAAATAGTGTAGTTAGAAAGCTTTTTATACTTTATTACTATTTTAGAGCTTATGTCTAGAACTAGGCTTTTT